AATCCCTATGATCCACTGATGAATAGAGGGGAAAATATGGAGCCTGGGAAAAGTGGACTCGGAAAAGGAAATTTATGTACTTTTTGGCTCGAAGGTTTCCTAAATTTCTATCTTACTTCTACAGGCAAAGCTTTCTCTCTGGAAAACATGGTCAGATTGATCAATGGCTAGCATTGACGCTGGGAAGAAGGGTGAGTGGTTTTGTTCACTATGAACTCTAAGGTTCCAGAAACCGATTAAGTACAGTGCATCATATACAATTTTTTTGTTTTGAAGAGCATTCCATGTTCTTGAATGTGGAAATATATGATACTATAAGCAAGTTACTAGTTCTTTTCAGCATCGCACTTGTTGAACATGTACTCTAAATTTTTATTTCTCGTCTTTCCAGGATAGGGCTTTGATAGAAGACCCTATCTATGAAGAATTCTGGCAAAGGGATGTCGAAGAATCAATCCGACAAGGAAATGCAAAACCTTTCATGGAGGAAGCTGTATTGCAAGTCTCTAATTGTGGATTCAGCCTTGCAGACCTCAAATTGCAGAAGAAACAGAGAGGGAAAGGCATCCTGCATGTGATCAAGTCTTTGCTAAGTGGATCTGAGGAAGAATATACTGGTTTCCTTGGTCCGATACATATATGGCAGGTATAATTTCATCCAATTTTGCTCCGGCTCTTCATTTTTCTTAAAGTTCTCATATCCTTCGTTTGTGTCCGACTCATACTTATACGTGGATATGGGTATATTATCCTTCAATGACCCTCCAGAAACACGGAAAAGCTTTTAAAATATGAGCGTACCAATTTCAGAAAATACATGCTCGCACAAACACTCTAGTCCGAGTAAACATCGATTCCACCTTTTATTAATACATTGTTGCTGTATTTAACTGTTCTGCTACACTTTTTTCCTGTTCATGTAGCATTATGGATTTACTGATATATTGTTGTCCGCTAGTGTGAGATATCATGTGATAGCCGTGAAGCTATTTGCTTTACAGGTTTTTATTCTCCTTTGCTTTTGTGGTTAATTTGTTGCCAATGATTACCATATTCCACTTGTTTTCTACATGTTGGATTCTTGTAGTCGTGCTAAAATAATTTTTCGGAGCAACGTTTTTCCAAATCCTATTTCTCAGTTTTATAAAAAAGAATCCTCGTACTAAAAAGGGCAAGACATCTGGTATTTGCTCAAACCGTAGAGGGCTAATCCATAGAGTACTCTAGGCATAGTACATCAAACTTTCTTTGTGGAAGATGGACCATGGTACCCTGGCACCAAGTTATTTCAGGTTCGAACACTTCATTTTTCTTGAAGCACCCGTGTTCAACCTCTATTTCCAGCACATACTCGTACCTGACACTCAAACTTGAGTGTGAGTAACAAAGCCTCGGCATATAAGATCACCGATGAAACAGCATTCAGATATAAACTTCATATATCCGATATTGTAGGTGTCCTGGTATGCTTTTAACCTAGTAGCTATGGTTTTATTTTGCAGTTTGAGAGCAAAGCAAGACATGGATTACCGTTCTCAGGGAAACTTTAATCGAACTATATTTTCTTTTATTTACCAAATTTTCTGGTTTCATATAGGGGATGGACGATAAAGTTGTCCCACCTTCGATGACCGATTTCGTTCATAGGGTTCTGCCAAGTGCTGCGGTGCATAAACTCCCATACGAGGGTCATTTTACGTATTTATACTTTTGCGACGAATGCCATAGACAGATATTTACCACACTTTTCGGAACTCCACAAGGACCGCTCCCTGTCGTCAATACCATAGAAGTAGAACAAACAGCATTGGATGATGCAGAAGTGCAGGGTGATTTAAAGACAGATTGAGATACCAAAGTTTTCTACAATAGGTTAGTTTTGACGTGTAAGATTGTATATAGCATAGGCTTGTTCCATTGTTATTAGAAAAAGTTGGAAGAATAAAATTTTCTTATGTCTACGGGATTGAAATCTTAGAAAGTTTTTGAAGATGTTGGCTGTCTACAATTGAAATAAATAGGATCAGATATGTTGTTATTTGTGTCAATTCCATACGAAAACTTTATATTATTAATGCATGTGTACTTATTTTAAAAATATTTCTGAATCCTTCACTATATTAATATCTGATGATTAAGTGATATTGATATCTTTTATTCAGCGTTCGAGTCCTGCTCCTCCCCTGATTATAAAAAACCAGAAGCATTAATAAGGATTAAATTATAAACTTTGATACCAACAATTAATTGGTTTAGTGGGATGAAACATTATATTTTTTAAGCAAAGTTATGAGTTTGAATCTTGACATTTACGAATGAAGAAAATTGAGTTAGTAGAATCGTCTCATAATATGATTTTACAAAAATCAAATATAAAATAATCGAATAATATATTAGGTATTGATGACTAAACCGAAAAAAAATATAAACTTTGATATGTTTGGTTATAGGATGATTTTTTTATAAAAAAAATTAATTATTCTTTTTATTCATTGTTTGGTAGAGTTCAAAAGAAAGAAGAGAAAAGACTAAGTTTTGAAAATTACGCATTTTGAATTAACTCATATCCCTATTTTATTTTCTTTCTTCTTATTTTTTTTGAATTTAAATGATTTATTTGTTCACATCAGTATGAAAAATGTTCAATTTACTCATTTTAATTTTCTCATATTTTCTTTCCTACCAAGCACACTCCAAATCATTACTCTGAGTTGTAGTTGAAAACTATCTTCGAAAACCTTAGATTAGATAAAGAGGAAGACCAAAAAAAAACCCGAAAGACTTATATGGGAAAAAGGGACAGCCATTTTATTATATAATATATAATAGAATATAAGTATTAAACATATTCAAATATTTAATGTGTTTCTATCTATAAAAGACGAGAGTTTAAATGTGTATATATAAATTATAAACGATAATAAATTTGTGTTATATATATATATATATATCTTACCTGATTTGGATTTCAACTGTGTCTAAACTGTAATCCGCCACCTACACCCTCAAGCCATGCATGGATTCCACGCGTCTCCCTTCAACCTCTCCTCTCCTCTACATATACTCCTCCTTTTCAACTCAAAACGAAACCAACTTCAAGCAAACCACAGCCAAAAATGGGTAAAGGAGTGACCTTTTTGCTGCTAGCCCTCGTTCTCTGCCATGCGTTGACAGTGGCAACGGGGTACAAAGGCGAGAAACAAAGGCGGAAAGAAAGAGAAAGGGAGGAAAGTGGAGAAGAAGGAGAAGGTGGTCGACGCGCCGAGGACATGTTTTTAATGCGAAGATCAACGCGTGTGATCAGAACCGATGCCGGAGAAATGAGGGTGGTGAGAAGCCTCGGAGGGAGGATTATTGAGAAACCATTGCACATTGGGTTCATTACCATGGAGCCTCAGTCCCTTTTCATTCCCCAGTATCTTGATTCCAGTTTGATCCTCTTCGTTCGTACAGGTATGTATTATGTACTTTTTGGTAACCTTGAAAAACATTATGATAGAGTACTCGTTATAATGCGTTGTGGCCTTAATTTAATACTATGCCGATGGGTATTGGAATCGATGCAGGAGAAGCCAGGGTTGGCTGCATTTACAAAGACGAGATGGTGGAGAGGCGACTGAAGATCGGAGATGTGTTTCCCATCCCTGCTGGTTCAACGTTCTACATTTTGAACCCTGGTGAGGGGCAAAGGCTTCACATCATCTGCAGCATTGATCCATCCGAGAGTTTAAATCTGGATACTTTTCAGGTAAGAATTTTCTTGGTTTCTTCAAAGTGATCATCATCAAGATTGTTGAATTTCTGGATTGCATGCAGTCTTTCTTTATCGGCGGAGGAACTTATCCGGCATCTGTCCTTGCTGGTTTTAGCCCTGAAACTCTTTCTTCAGCCTTCAATGTAAGCAATAACACATGTTATCTGTACAACCAGCTTTCAGATGATCTTTGTGTTCTCATAATATGCACATAATTACAGGTCTCGGTCTCAAGATTGACGGAAATGTTGAGCAGGCAACAAGAGGGGCCAATTGTGCATATTGCACCGGCTCATGCACCGAGCATTTGGACCAAGTTGTCTCAACTTAAAGAGGAAGATAGACTGATGCAAGTGAAGAGAATGGTCCAAGGAGAAGTTGAACAAGTGAAAGAATGGTCATGGTGGAGTCTCTTTGGCATGTTCTCTGAGAATGAAGGGAATTTATTTAAGGATAAAGCCCCTGACTCATACAACATCTACAAGAAAAGCCCTGATTTCCGGAATGACTACGGATGGAGTGTTGCGGTCGATGGATCTGATTATAAACCTCTCAAAGACCATGGCACTGGCATTTACCTTGTCAATCTCACTGCGGTAATATATCTCTATAGTTGTGAACAAGACAAATACATGATTTTATGCTAGGGAGACCATCTTATAAAATTATACGGTAATCTATCTCTATAGTTGTTAATAGAGAATTCCCGAAATTTTCGTCCATCCCTAGTTGTTAACTCAATCCATGTAATGATCATATCAAATTTTGTGGATAGTTGTTTATAAGTTGGTCTGCAATTTCAGGGATCAATGATGGCACCACATATGAATCCAAGAGCATCAGAGTATGGGATTGTGTTGAGGGGAAGTGGTAGGATCCAGATTGTGTTTCCAAATGGGACATTAGGCATGGATACCAAGGTAAGAGAAGGGGATGTGTTTTGGGTACCAAGGTACTTTGCTTTCTGTCAACTAGCATCACGGTCGAGTCCATTCGAGTTCTTCGGGTTCACAACATCGTCACTCAAGAACAGGCCTCAGTTCCTTGTTGGTGCAAACTCCCTTCTTCATACTTTCAACACACCGGAGCTTGCGGCTGCATTCGGTGTAACGGAGGAGAGGATAAGGCGTTTCATCAATGCACAGAATGAAGCTGTGATACTTCCAGCAGCACCGGGCGGTGATGAGGATGTGAAGAGGGCGTCGGTGAAATTTGAAGCAGTACCGGAGGTTTAAGATCACATGAGATGGGAATGTAGTAGGGTTGTTGCAAGCTAGGAAGTTCCTTGTTTTCTACTGTTGGTATCTTGATCTTTTGCATATTTTATTTGATGTTTTTATCTCCAGCATTTTCCAATTTAGGTCCTTTTCTTCTTCTTCTTTCAATTGAATAAAATCAATCACCGTGTTCATCCTTCTGCCCTTAAAATGATCAGCTTTATATATATTTCCGGCCGGAAACTTTCAATCCTCCCCAAACAGCCAAGTTATTCTCGACTATAGAGGAACATACCTACACGTACCTTATATGGTTACATTTGAACTCTGAACTCACTAAGGTCACTTAATGACAGTTATATTTGAAAATACTTTCATCGGAAGGATTTATTAATGAGTTTTTTTTTTTAAGGTATGAGTCAAGTTTGAAGTTTATGAAAATTGTTATCTTTATAGTTTTGATGTATATTTCCGGGTAAACTATATAAATAGCTATCGAACTTTTAGTATATTTGTAGTTTGGTCATCAAAGTTTTAAATTATGTAATATAATCATTGAACTTTTAATTCGATTTTATTATGGTCACTGTCGTCAGTTACCTTAAGAAATGTTGATATGGTACGTTGAAGTTGTATTTTTACGGTTGTTGGCCTGTGTTTTCATTTGCATTGTCATCTTTCGGCATTCAAGTGAGGGGTATATTGCTCACTACAAGCAGTTTCAGAGGCTGTCTGGTTCAAGAAACACAACTGAATTTGGTTTAATAAATTTTTTTCTGGTGAAAACACCAAAACTCTTGGATTTGTACACTACTTATGATGCATTTAGGACTATTGAACAACTCTGGGATTTGAAAGAAGATTTTGAATATAATGAGTGTTGTGTTTAATGGTCAAGATGATTGTAAAATTTAAAAGATAAACACATATTTTTATAAATACATTTAACAAACTTTTTTCCACCATCAACATAAGAAACGTAACATAAAGTTTGTCCACCATCAACATAAGAAACGTAACATGATCTGACATATAGATTAAAGTATATTAAATGTTATTAAATACCTTTAAATATTTTTTTTAAATTAATCAAATTATTTTTAAATTATTATAAAATAAATATTAAATTTATCAAAATTTATATTAAATGTAAATAATTATTTTAATTATCAAATATTTTTTAAATTAATCAAATTATTATTAAATGTTATTAAATTATTATAAAATAAACATTAAATTTATCAAAATTTCATAGTTGTTATTATATTATAACAAATATTTTATAACATTTATAAATTTAATAAGATTTTTATGACTAAAATTTATGGAAATAATACGAAAATAATTTTTTTTTTGAAACGGTGCCTTTGTTGAAAAAAATGCCTCAGTGTTAGTGCTACCCACGGCAACATCATCAAGTGTGAACATCCGACGTGGCAAACTTAATTAGCAACCGTTGGATCAAGGACCACTAAAATCCAACGGTCATAAGAGAAACCCTAAACTGAAAACGGCGCCTTCGTTTCTGCTATAAAATTCCAAACCCCCCTCTAATTTCCCATTCATCGACCTCTCTTTCATTTCAACTCAAAAGCGGCTCTTCGAAAAGGTTCGATTCCTTCGTCATCAAAATATCAGTAATTGTTTTATCCCAATTTTCTTTCCGTTTGTAAATCTTTGTTTCTTTTAATTTTCATTCTTTTCGAACGGAATTGTTGAGATCTGTTTGTTTGTGTGATTTTATTTTTGGGTTACTTTTCTTTTGTGTTACGATTGGATTGCATTTGATTTTGGTGATTCTGCCTTCCAATTATGCTTTTATTTTTTCCCAGTACTTGTTTTCCATTAATTCAGAATGGGTAAGGAAAAGACTCACATCAACATTGTTGTCATCGGCCATGTCGATTCCGGCAAATCAACCACCACTGGCCACTTGATCTACAAGCTCGGTGGTATCGACAAGCGTGTCATCGAAAGGTTCGAGAAAGAAGCCGCTGAGATGAACAAGAGATCATTCAAGTATGCTTGGGTGCTTGACAAACTCAAGGCCGAGCGCGAGCGTGGCATCACCATTGATATCGCCTTGTGGAAGTTTGAGACCACCAAATACTACTGCACTGTTATTGATGCACCTGGACACCGTGACTTTATCAAGAACATGATTACAGGTACTTCACAGGCTGACTGTGCTGTTTTGATTATCGATTCCACCACTGGTGGTTTCGAAGCTGGTATTTCCAAGGATGGTCAGACTCGTGAGCACGCTTTGCTTGCTTTTACCCTAGGGGTCAAGCAAATGATTTGCTGCTGCAACAAGGTGAAAATCTTATTGATCTTATTGTTGACATTTGTGTGTTGTTGGATGACTTTGCTGCTAATTGTCTGTCTGTTTTTTTTGTGTAGATGGATGCCACTACCCCGAAATACTCGAAGGCTAGATACGATGAAATTGTGAAGGAAGTCTCTTCATACTTGAAGAAGGTTGGATACAACCCTGAGAAGATTCCATTTGTTCCCATTTCTGGTTTTGAGGGTGATAACATGATTGAGAGGTCTACCAACTTGGACTGGTACAAGGGCCCTACTCTTCTCGAGGCTCTTGACAATATCAATGAGCCCAAGAGGCCTTCAGACAAGCCTCTCCGTCTCCCACTCCAGGATGTTTACAAGATTGGTGGTATTGGAACTGTCCCGGTTGGTCGAGTCGAAACTGGGGTCTTGAAGCCTGGTATGGTTGTCACCTTTGGACCTTCTGGTCTGACCACTGAAGTTAAGTCTGTTGAAATGCATCATGAAGCTCTTACAGAGGCACTTCCCGGTGATAATGTCGGGTTCAATGTTAAGAACGTTGCTGTGAAGGATCTCAAGCGTGGTTTTGTTGCATCTAATTCCAAGGATGATCCTGCTAAGGAGGCCGCCAACTTCACTTCTCAGGTCATCATTATGAACCACCCTGGCCAAATCGGAAACGGATATGCCCCAGTTCTCGACTGCCACACCTCCCATATTGCGGTCAAGTTTTCCGAGTTATTGACCAAGATTGACAGGCGATCCGGTAAAGAGCTCGAGAAGGAACCCAAGTTCCTGAAGAACGGCGATGCCGGTATGATAAAGATGGTTCCCACTAAGCCAATGGTTGTTGAGACCTTCTCTGCATACCCACCTCTGGGACGATTTGCCGTGAGGGACATGCGTCAGACCGTTGCGGTCGGTGTTATCAAGAGTGTTGAGAAGAAGGACCCGACCGGTGCCAAGGTCACCAAGTCTGCAGCCAAGAAGGGTGGAAAGTGAACCGTGCTGGCAAAACCTTTTACAAATTCCGCAGATAATGATTATAATAATAGTTTGATAGACTTTATCATATACGATATAGTTGGTGTTTTGGTTGGTTTTGCAAGTTATAGTGTGTTGCCATTTTTGTCTGGTATCTGTTCGCAGTATTGGGCTTGATAGACGGTGGCATGCACATGCTATAGCAGGTTGTCCCTAGCGTTGTCTGGTTGTAGTTATATAGTTTTGCATTGTAAGAGGTTACTTGGTTTCCAAGGTAGCTTCGAGCTTTTGTTTATGATATTCGTTTATGCTGCGGAATCATATTATCAAATCATATGATATATAGTTTTATGAAAACTTCCTTTGCTTTATCATTTTTTGTGCCCCTGCAGCGCGTACACTTGCAGACATAAATTTAGAGGAAGAGTGGTCCATATGATACGGGTAGTTCTGTAATAATTTATACATTAGAAATGATTTATGTAAGAAATTTATAAAAAAAATTAACTTAAAAATAATTAAAATATATTGTCTATTAATTTTTGTATAAATATTTTCTTTTTATTATTAAGAATTTAACTTGTTAAAAATAAATATATGACAAGAGCAATTTAAATAAAACATGTACTTCAAATTAGTAAAATATGTTTTTCAATAATTTTATATTCTCTTGATCAAATATTATAATCTTATATTCATGTCAAATAAGATAATATAACATTGTGATAATATATATTTAATATTATAATTTGAGAATGGTAACGTTATATTCTGTTAATCAAATGTCATTTAAGCATTAACTAGGATTAGACAATTAAAGAGTCAATTGCACAAGAAGTATTAAAATTATAGGCATTGTTCTAAATTGATCCATGAACTATAAAACATTTTATAGCAATATTTAAACTATTATATCATTCTAAATTAATCCACAAACTATTATGTATTCTATATATTAATCCTCAAACTATCATTATCATTATATTTTAATCCTTCCACTGATGCGTCTTTAACTTATTGGTTGAAAACAATACACCTATTTTTTAAAATCTATACTTTTTTTAGATCACAAGTTCAATACCCAAAACCTTCAATAACTAATTAATTTTTAACCAGTAGAATTAATTATATGTTATCAAAGTAATCAAAATGAGATTGAAACATAATGATATTCATAATTTAAAGACGAATATTCCAAATTTTAGAAACTAATTTAGAATGGAGTCATAGTTTAGGAAATAATAGAGAATTTTTAAATATTTAAATATCATTCTCAAAAAATAAAATTTAGGTGCCAATTTAGATTAGAATCATAGCATGAGAGCCTCCTATGCAATTTAGTCGATACTCACCCACACATTCGTCGACTCAAAGGACACCACCATCCGACTACTGATACACAGATCATGCCTAGTAGATGTCTCAACTAGAGTTATGAAGCTCATCTGCAGAGATAACTAGTCGATCACATGTATATGCTTGACTGACAGCTTCAAACTTTAACAGCACTTTAGGCAAATCATTGAAAGTTAATAGGAGGAAATTAAACCACATTTGTCTGAGAGATCCTCAATATATAGTCCCCGAAGCCAGTACAAGATCATTATTTAACACGTTTTATCGGTATCCCAGGTAACCACTGGCGGCATTTACTCGTTAAGTTTCGCAATCTTAAAGATGGTATTCTCGATCTTCCACAACAGATCTGGAGAAAACTGCAAAATTAACTGTAAGAGACGCTTCTGTTTGAGATAAACAGGAAAGAAT